TAGCCGGAACAGTACCGAATACTTAATTGGCAACCCATGGAGTTAACTAAAAAGCATTGACAAAGATTGCTTAACTCTTTAGCAAAATCAGTAAATAATTAGTCTAAGAAAAAGCTGCCAGACTGTTTTCTTTGAAATTTAGTATTCAAGGATGTCGAAGAAGTAAAAGCTTCTAACTGGACTCAATTCTCTGTCCATTTGGCTAATAAACACGCCAGATTGGTTGAAAGAAAGTTTAATTAGAAGTTTAAATCTAAGACTAAAAGGACACAATCGAAGATGCCTAATAATAAATCGAATTCTATACTCTTGAATTGGACAACCATAAAGAGAAATTTGCTGATAATAATCATGGTATGCAGTCTAATCCGAAATCTATGAAACCCAAACCAATGTAAGGTATCCCATCAATCTAGTTTTTTAGAACTGTCTAATAAGAAATTGTTGACAGACTCCAAGAGTACATCAGAGAGAAGTTATCCTCTTAATAGATCACCATCAGAAATTGATTTGATAATCAAATACTTCAATAAATTATTGGATAACATATGACAGATTAAATATCCTCCTATTAGAATAAAATGAACAAAATAATTCTAATTTAAAAATAAAAGAGCATCTCTTCACTTGCTTTATTTGAATTTATATTACTATAAGAAACATAGCGAGTACAATAATATTCAATCTAAAAAATAAAAATGAAATCCAAAATTTAAATGAAGAATCAAAAGTGTAATCTTCGAATTATCATTTTGCAACATAGGTAAGATTATTTAATAATGCATATAAATTCCTTGGGAGAACTCTTTCATTTATAATTGCACATTTATGTTTGTTTTATTTTATTACAATAATGATAAATGCATATTGTATAGTATAAAAGAGACGAAACTACCTTTATAATATATTTTTGAATACAAAATTTCATTATGGGTAGGAATAGATGAGGTTGAAATTCTAAAAATTCTCATATTTGTGTTAGGAACACTATTTCTTATTGGGTATAGCTTTTTATTCAATTTATAAAAATTTTAAATCAGTATTATTAAGTATTCTCAATTACATGCAAATATATTGATAAATTTCTAAGTTTTTTGCTAAATGATTTCTAATATTCAATTAAAAACACTGCAATATATCTATTATTGGGTGGGTTATTAGAGTTTTAATATTATTATATATTTATTCTGCTATTTGAACTTTTGAATTTTGAAAAATGAATCATCATTTTCGATTTAAACTAAATCCGATTTAAGATTTAAAATTAATATATAATTATGAACACTGCCTTTATAATTGTTTACATCTTAAGTATTTTTTAATAAAAAACTTAAATTCCCTTTTTCATTTTTAATTGATATGGGTATTATTTTATCTAGCTAGTAGAGAGAGAAAAAGAAAATCAATTCGATAATTATGTAAATCACCATTTAAAATATCACTAGTGATCAAAATTTAGACCTTCAAGCTAGAAACCATTTCCAATAAAGTAAAACATCTGAATATGGATGTGATATTTGGGATTCGAATTAAAAGAGGTTATTGAAGATTAAATATCGAATATCAACTACAATTGAACTTTAAAGGTGCAGTTTAGATGGAGAAATTCTTAAAATGTAAAGATATTACAAAATATTAGAGTCTAAAATAAAAATTCCTCATTTAAATTGGATTTGTTGACTAATTTAGAATAGATCAAATATCTTGAATGTTTTGAGAATTATTTAGGGAATTATATGGAAGTTAGGAAATGGACTATGTATTGGGGAGGAGAGCAAATATAATAAACTGGGGGGTTTTACTCAAAGGATGGGTTGAAGTAGGGTTTATGGAATTAATTAATTAAACAATATTCAAGGTAATATCCACTGACTTAATAAATAGTCAAGCCCAAGTATGCGAAAAAGGAGAATATTTTTATGATCAAAAATTTGGTTTATGGACATACATAGATTAAAATTAAATTATGTATTTTTATCCAATAATTATTTTGTGGTGGTGGATGGTACAGTTCAGATTTTTAGAAAAATGGTAAATGGGTTGAGCTGAGCGAGACTTTTTGGAATTAATCCTAAGTTACTTATAATGGTGAATATAAGGGTGGAAAAAAAGTTAATAAATGGGATACGATAATCAATGGAAAATAGATGTAAGTAATTCAGAATGAATTTATAATAAATAGTATTGGTGGAGGGTTTTACAATACTTCAGGTTCGATTAAGATTGGAAAATGGATTGAAGTAAGCGATGGATTTTGGGAGAAATCTTAAATCACATATGTTGGTGAATATTAAAATGGAAAAAAAGTTGGTAGATGGGACTTTTTTTATAAATCCAACTCTGGAGATTATACAAATGAATTAGTGTATCAAATTATGAAAGTATATTTAGTGGCGGTGGTTCTTACGATGATGATGACAAACAGGAAGGTGTTGGTGTTAAGATTGGAAAATGGATTGAATTAAATGATGGGTTTTAAGAAAAGTCTTATGTTATTCTTGTCGGTCAATATAAACATGGTGAAAAAGTTGGTAAATGGGACATTTTTCATTAGTAGAATAATAAGAATGAATTAATGTAAATATTAAGTTAACAACTTTAGCGGTGGCGGTTTCTATGGAGATATTGAAAATTAAGAAGGAATTGGTATTAAAATTGGAAAATGGGTAGAATTGAGTGATGGATTTTGGGAAAAGTAGTAAATAATTTAAGGAGGTTAATACAAAAATGGAAATAAAATTGGTAGATGGAATATTTTGGATTCTCGAAGATAAATGTTAGATGATAATATAATATTGCGTTATTTTTAGCATAGGGGGAGGACAATATGATGAGACATTTTCATTTAAGTGTGGGAAATGGATTGAATTAAATGAGAGATTTTCTTGGGCTTCATAAGTCACTAGTTATGGAGAATATAAAAATAATAATAAAGTTGGTAGATGGGATATAGTGGCTTGGGGTAAATAGATGTAATATTAATAAATTATTAAGTTATCAATAGTGGTGGTGGATCGTATTAGTATGATGAAAACTAAGACTGTGAGACCCTTAAAATTGGAAGGTGGAATGAGTTGAGCGAAGTTTATGGATTGTATTCGTACATAACTAATAATGGAGAATATAAAAACGGTAAAAAAATTGGTAGATGGGACATTTTGTGGAGAGAGGACGAGAAAAAACCATTCTAATAAATGTAAATATTTCTTACTATATAATTTAGAGGAGGTGGAACATATGATTAAGAAGATAAGTTAGGAAATTCAGTAAAGAATGGTAAGTGGATTGAGCTAAGCGATGGGTTTCGAAAGTATTCCTAAGTTACTTACAGTGGTGAATACAGATATGGCAAAAAAGTTGGAATATGGGAAGAGATAGAATTAAGGAGTAACAAAAAAATTAAATAGATAAATTATTATAATTGATAAAAAAATCTTTATTAATAATAAATACATCAATCTGAGTATGAAGGAAATAATATAATTAATCAATAAATAAATCAAATAAACCTTTTCTCTATTTTAATTATATAGTGAAAGTTGAAAGATTAATTTGAAATTTATCCCTAAAATAAGCGTCATGTTTTTTTCCCTAATAACTTAAATAAATGCCTTAAATATTATTTTATAGATTTCCAAATTTATATTACAAATATTTCGGAGATTTTTCTTTTTTATTTTAACTTTAAAGGAAATACTATGACTTATATTTTATTATTAAATGTTTTTTAATTTCTAATGATACAGTTAAGATTGATTGACTCCTATGCCGTTAAAATCACCATTATTTTTTCCAATATGAATTGTGAATGATTCTTAATTGAAAATCCTATGCTTGATTTATTTCGTTTATATAATTAATACAATGTTTGAAAAAACAACTTTCATGGGTTTTGCTGCAATTCTGTAATTGTAGAAAAATGGCGATACACAAGATTATTACTTCAAGGCGATTCAAATCGATTTCAAACACAAAATGTATTCTTAATAAGACTTTTCTCTAAATAAAACTTTTTACACATCCTCATTTGCTAAAGTAAGAGTTTGAAGTATTAGTTACATTTTAAATTATGAAACCTTGCATATTTTTTTACAATCCTATCAACTCTGTAACGGATTATTATGTTTAAATAATTTAAATAGTAATTAATTGGTACTCAGAAATTTGAAAAAACAAAATGAAATCTATTTATAAACAACATAAAATTTCAACATGTAAAATATGATTCATATTCCATTGATTCAATTTTAAGGATTAAAACTTTAATAATCAACTTTTCTAAGTTAAACTCTAAGAATCAACTAGTAAATAGTAAAAATCAATGATTTGTAGAAATATTATATTAAAATAACAAGTTGGACCTTCTGGTTTCCTCCTCAAATTTAATCTTTAAGGTGTTGTTTGTAATGAAAAGGTTAGAAAGATATCTAGCGATGGTAGAATTAAAGTTCTTACTTATTCAGTTCAAATCTTGTTAAATAATAAGCCATTCTTACTTATTGAAAGGTATATCACTCTATTTCGATAAAATCAAACATTAAATGGAAGAGAAATGGGACAAATTAAGTAATTATGAAGCTTTTCTGCTTACTTTGTAGAAAATAACATTTAATTCTAAAGTTTAACAAATTTTAACGTTTACTAACTTTATTTTTGATTTGAACTTAATAGTATACAAGATTAATGAGAATTTATAAATAAAATTAAAAATAAATTATTGATTATTTAAGTTCCAATAATATTACAAATCTGACAAAATGGATCTTAAGTAACAGCCTCAAGAGCAAAAATCTGAATTTCATTCCAACCCTTTGACGTATGAATTACTTCCAAATATCTAATACTATTAACATGAATATTGCTGTGCTTTAGCAATGAAAGAGTCTAATAATATTTTATTGGCAGGGTAAGATAATAAAATAAAAGTAATACAATTCAAAAATGGATTGAAATTGGTAAACTGTGCTTAGAAACATCAAAACATAGTAGTTACGCTAAATATTTTTCAAAATAGATATCAATTTATTTCTGGTTCTAATGATTCCTAAATCATAATATGGTCCTTTCATTTGATGTCATCCCCAAAATATTTAACAAAATTAAAAGGTCATTAAGATTGGATCAAATGTTTGGTAATTCGTCCAAAAAGTGAAGACTTGATAATTAGTGGATCATATGATAAAACAATTAAATTTTGGAAGCAAACATCTTATTTCTTGACTTAATCTTAAAACTCCTACTTTAAATAATAATCTTGGGTATGTTCGTAAACAATTACCTAACATAAAAAACAGATAGAAGGTTTATCAATAAATTAAGAGGGTAATAAATTAATAACATGTGGAGCAGACCATTTAATATTAATTATAGAAGAGATTGAAACATAATGGTAAATTAAGTAAAAGATAGAAGTCTAAGAATTTGGGTATCGAATTTCTTTCATAAATAATGATTTATTTGCTTTTTAACCAAGAAATAACTACCTGTGTTTGTTTTCTTTTAATCCAAACACAGGATTATACTAGCAAAATTAAGATATTTAAGTTCAAGGAGGGGAGAAAAATTGTGATGGATTATTTCCATTACTCTATCTGTAAAAATAACAAATTTTGATTTCCAAAAATGGAATAAATGTGAATGTACTTAAATTTGGTTTTATTAATTCAAATGATTATTATTGCAAATTAGAATAGGTCATTGGTTTTAGATTTTTAAGTTCTTGGGGTGGATTAATTTATGGAACTGCAAGTCATGATGGTAAGTATTTAATAACATGGGATCAAATATCTAAAGAAATCCAAATTAGATAATTGAGATTTGAGAAGTGAAAGATTTTAATTAATTATATTGTTATTTTTGAATCTTCTCAATTAGATTGTAGTATTGATTTACAATATTAAAGCTCAGTTATAAACGATTCGATAATCAATATTTTAGTTTAGTTGTATATAATTTTATATTGGTATGGCTAAACAATTTCTTGAATCAAGAAATTATTTTAGTCTAATCTATTTTAAGTCTTTTAATTAATAAATTACTTTTCTAAAATCTGAACAATATATCAATCTTTTTTAATAAAATTTTTGAAACTGTCATCAAACAAGAAAATATCTCATTGATTTAAAATCAAAAATGAGATTATGATATTCATTGTAATTAAACATATTTAATTTAGATATCATTATTGAGTTTTTTTTTAAATAGAAAAGACCTTAAAAATTGGTAATTTGAAGCATCATTCAGTCTTCAAAAACAAAGCTATAAAATAGTTTATTTTTTAAATCCTTCATTATCTTATTATTAAATCATATTATAAATTGACATTGGATATTTTCTCTCAAGGGACAGCTTTAAACCAAGACAATTGTTTTAGACAAACAAACATTAATATTTACTAAACATTATTAAAACTCTGAGTCAAAGTATTAGTTTGAATTAATCCTCTTAGACATTTATAAAAACGATTTTATAAGTTGGAAACTCAAATAAAAAGAAATATGACTTGACTTTAGTGGAATAATAGGTTGCCTACACTTTGGGAAACTCTATAAAAGTTGTTTAAAAATATATCTAAATATATTTCACAAAGGATTAGCAAACCTTATCAATAACCTTGTTTTAATAGGGTACAGATTATTACAAGATTAGTAGTGATAGGTAAAAATGCATTCCTAATTGTTCTTTTTAAAATGCAGCCAATTCAATATTCGCTTGAACTTGAAACTTGTACTTTCAGCAATGTAGAAACATCAGATCGATTAAGCAAATCAGAAAATTAAGCTATTTAGATACGACTGTGGGAACATCTATTATGGCTGCTTTTCCTGATGGTAGTTACAATTTAATGTGGTATTAAAATGGAAACAACGCTGGTGTCTATTTCTAATTATATTCTGCTGATAATTGAACTACTGTACGCACGAGAAAGTAATAAAGTTAACAATCTATTTATTAAAATTATTACGCAGATAAAATAGCAATAGCAATAGATTATGAAGGGTTTGTTACTTGAAAAAATGCTTCATATAATTAAACT